TGTGTGTGTGTGTGTGTGTTTGTGTGTGTGCGTTCGTGTACGCGTGTGCGTGTGTGTGTTTTTATAGCAGCTAGTCTGAACCACTTAAGAAATTGTGTAGACGTCTCTTGAGTTACTTTACAGAAATCCAATCTTTAGGTCTCTGTTCGTTTAGTGTGAAATGAAACCACACTTTTTAAGCCTCTCACTCCAGGAACATTTTAACCTCTTAGCCTTTTTTATAAACTAGTAGCAGTGCGACGTGATAAATATCTAAAGTATGTATGGGGTCTTACTGAGTTAAAAAAAATAATGTCGACACTCACAAGAGACATCTGTCCGTCAACCTCTTCACTTGTGCTCAAATGCGAGAACAATCACTAGACACGTTTATTGAACCTTGAGGACTAAATTTTATCGACTTGGCCCCTTATGATTAGTAGAAGTAGGTGCGTATAACAGTGATAGGTATAACGTACATAATTATTGTAACATGTTACCTTAATTTATTATGATTTTAAGATTTATTAAAACTATAATTGTGAGGCATCGTGGTGAAATCAGGCACTCTTCAAAATAATGAAGTCGAAGAAACAGCCAAATTTTTCCTCGTGTTTGGCAATTTTTATAAAATATTTGTTTTTTGGCTCAGCATCTTTTATGTCCATGTAAAAACACATTTCCATGTGAATTTTACTGGTAAACGTTGATTGATGGCACAAATTTAAATATTTAGATTTTCAGTTTTCAAGGGCTCTCAGGTTCTAGAAGTTACACAACTTTGGAGGTCATTTTTTCGATAATCTTAAATCTGAAACCATGCTACCCCCACCTTCTTCAAATGCAAATATATCTTCGAGATAGATGGGGATTTTTTCATTGAAAATACGGCAAATGAATAGGCTTTTAGATGATACCAATAACTCCAAATGAACAAAAACTGACGAGCGCCTGATTCTACCACGTCGTGACAAACTTAAGGTTTCCCTTCTAAGTGGAATGTCCAAGATCCTTTACTTTTCATTAAGTGTTCAATTGCCATACATTTTCAAAACACGCGATGAGCATGTCGATAATATTGACAATTACAACCAAGGCTTTAAATATCAACATGTACTGACATCGATGACAACAGAACTGTTATAAATAGAGGTCCAAGGAAGATAGATGTCTGTAAAAGAAATGAAAGCAAAGATGACTTTGGATATTATGACGATGGACTTTGTAGTTAACCAAGGAGCGTGACAAGGTGGTAGAGTAGTTAGACACTCACGTCGATTGTGTACAAGTCTTTGACTCCTCGAATGTCGATGAGGATGTCGTAGTTCCATGGGCCTAGTTCAGCGTATATACCTAGAGGATAATATTGGAAGGGTGGGGTGAGGAGGGGGGTGAGAGGTAAGGATATGGGAAGTGGTGTGAAAAGGGGGCGGTTATGAGGGGAGATGTGGGCATAGACGAGGGGAGTCGGGGAAAGAGAGGTGGGGTAGAGATAGAGTATGTGTCTGTTTCATCTGAAAGTCTTATGATACCAGTTACATATTTTTTTACTTATCAATACCGAGGTCGTTAACACTGTTCATCACATAAGAGGTAAGCTGATAAAAAAAAGTAACAATTCCGACAGAAAAACAAAAACACAGATTACTTTTATCGTGAAACTATATCTCTTTTCGCACCTAAAAATTTCCGACAGGAAAGGAGTATCAAAGTATACAGTAATCTGATAACATGGCTGAAAGGTCACTAAAATTCAGCACGAGAATCAGATAGCACACAGTTTCTGCTTTTGTTTGATTTTGTTTCGTTTTTGTTTATGTTTTTGTTGTGTTTTGTTTTTTTTATTTAACATTTCATTGCTGAACATAAACACCCTGAACAGTTGGGTCACATTAACAGTTTTTATAGTTCTCCTTGAAAAAATGTTACAAAACGGCTGCACGATTCTTCTTCTTCTTCTTCTTCTTCTTCTTCTTCTTCTTCTTCTTCTTCTTCTT